TCTCTGTCCCTCTCCTGCTTGCACATGCTCGCTCTCTCTCTCTCTCTCTCTCTCTCTGTCTCTCTCAAAAGTAAACATTTAAAAAATTAAAAAAAAAAATCTTTAATTTTTGAATCTGATATTTATAAAGAATGTAAGTTGACCTGATTTGAGGGTTTGGGGAGTGGGGGAGAATCTAAAATAAGGATGGTAGAGTCTGAATTAGAAAGGCTCTTCGAGCTCATCTAATTGTCAATGTCTCATTTCATGTGTTTATTTTCGGCTCAGGCGCCTCGTGGATCCTATAGACCTATATCCAGCTACTTTCTTAACAGCTTTTTTTTTTTTTAATTCTTTAATTCTTAGCATATCAACTTGGACGGTACATCTACCTCAGTGTTAGGTTCCAAACTGTACGGATTCTCTTACTCTGTAAATCTGGTCCTCCAGCATTTCCTGTCTCAGCGAATGGCACCACTATTCATTCAGCTGCTTAAGTCAGAAATTTGGGAGTCACAAATCTCTCTCAAATCTGTTCCTGCTAAGAATTTATGGGAGGTTTAGACTATCTTTTTTTTTTTTTCACTTTATTTTTTATTTTTTAAAATTTACATCCAAATTAGTATATAGTGAAGCATTGATTTCAGTAGATTCCTTAGTGCCCCTTACCCATTTAGCCCATCTTCCCTCCCACAACCCCTCCAGCAACCCTCAGTTTGTTCTCCATATTTATGAGTCTCTTTTGTCCCCCTCCCTATTTTTATATTATTTTTGTTTCCCTTCCCTTATGTTTATCTGTTTTGTCTCTTAAAGTCCTTATATGACTATCTTTTAAAGCAGCTTTGTCACAGTAGTACTGTAACCTGAGTAACAACAAGATATGGATAAGCTTCAGGGACAAAGGACTTTGTTTCTGCTGTTTGTCAGGGTAGCATTACATTAGCCTTTTGAAATGTTGCTTTGCAGTAATTTCCTTATTTAATGATGGTTCAATAACATAAGTGTGAAATATGTTGATTTGTATATATATGATATTGGTTGACAAATGCTGTGGTGTTTACAGTGTGTCGGGCACTGTTCCAACCCTGGGGGTAGAGCAGTGAACAAGATAGACTGTGTTTTTGTGGAGCTTCTGTCCCAGTGAGGACAGACTGACTGCGAACAAGTAAACACACTTAACTTCAGACAGTCATCAGCACCTTGAAGATATGAAAGCAGGCTGGAGTGAGAGAGTGGCAAGACTCGCTGGAGAGGGGGACAGGGAGGTCCATCCCGGGATGCAGCACAGAGCAGAGTCCTCCGGGTGAGGAGACAGTGTGAGCCTCCGGGGAGAAGGATCCGTGATGAGGGAACATGAGTACAAAGACCCTGAGACCGAGAGGAGCGTGGCATGTTTACAGGGCAGAAAGAAAGGCAGCTCAGCCCGTTGATATAAAATAAAGAACTTGTGGAGTCCCTTTTGTAATACTATCCCCTTACAAGTGAGGACATGATCATGTGAAAACCAGGAGTGGCTGATTTACATGTGCTTGTAATTTATCTCCCATCATGGTACTGGTTGTGGAGTACTGCTGTGTGTAGGCTGAGGTCATAGGAACAGCTTTCCTTTTTTGTTTGTTTATTTATTTTGAGAGAGACGGGGGAGGGGAGAAGAGAGAGAAGGGGAGAGAGAGAGAGAGAGAGAGAGAGAGAGAGAGAGAGAGAGAGAGAGAGAGAATTCCAAGCAGGCTCTGCACAGTGAGCCCTGAGTCTGGTGTGAGGCTCAAACCCACGAACAGTGAGATCATGACCTGAGCTGAAATCAAGAGACACTCAACCGGCTGAGCCATCCAGGTGCTCCAGGAGCAGCTTTTTTGATGTGAGTGCCTCTGCTTCACCCTGAGTCAAGGTTTATCTCTTTGTTCATTTGTTCATTAAACACTTATGGATCTTAGGGGTTGGCTGTTTGGGTGACTATGATAAATAAATCACAGTTCCTGCCTTGGTTTACTGGTGGGAGTTAGGGAGATAGACCTTATCTTTCGCATGGTGTAGTGAGTGCAGTGGCCCAGATAGCACAGGGAGCCGATCAACAGGGTGCTTCCTGGGGAAGAATCCCTTCCCTGGGTCTTGATGTGGGGGACTAGGGAGTGGCTTAGGGAAGAGGTGGGAGGGTTGTTCAAGCTGAAGGAGTTGGCTGCACAGAGACCTGGCTGGGTGAGTAGCATACATGTAGGGCACAATGAGTAGGTATGAGTGGCCAGGTGTGAGTGAGAGTGAGGCTGGGCCAGTGGTCCTGCCCTGGCTGCCTGTTAGAACCATCTGGGGCTTCCTCAGCAAAGCTCAGTGCTTGAGCTACATACCAGAGTGATTACAGTGCAGTCTCAGGGGACTGCCGGGCATCATTGTTGTTTCAACCTCCCTTGGTGATCTGAGTACTGCCAGAGCCTTACATGGTACATGTACATGGTACTGCCTCTGATCCTCTGAGTCCTGAGAGCCCAGCATGGGCAGGGGCTACCTGGCTTCTCCCCTAGGCTGGGAGCTGACTTTCAGTGTCACTTGCTTGTCAGATTACCAGGGTACAGCCACCTGCCCGCTAGACCTTCCAGCCATCTATTCCTCCAGCACCTGACCCCTTTTTGTGGACGCATGCCGTTTGTCGGAGCGTGTCCACTCCCGCTCTCTTTCCTTACCGTATTCATTGATCCTGGCCTCTTGTGACCTAATATCCCCTAGAAGCCATTTTGGCACATGAGGTATTAAATTTCATTTAGAAATCTAAGCTTCTTTTCTGACTTTTTTATCCACTTCTGGGAGTAACTGTTACATTTCCTGTTTGTTTTATTTTGAGAACCGTCCTAAACCCAATTAGATAGTTGTTCCATTTTAAGAGATCATGAATAAAGAATTACAGTATTAAAAGAATTGCCATACTTTTAAGGCGATTGCAATACTTATGTGTGTTAGATTTGGACTGCCTTTTGTGCTGCACTTGGAGAAGACAATAGCATGGGACCTTCTGCAGAAGGAAATCTTGGAGAAGATGAAGTATTTCCTGAGGCCCACGGTTTGCATTCAGGTGGGTCGGCATCTGGATGCTCCAGCACAGCATGCGTGTGTACCCCACGATGAAACAGTCCCTGCAGAGAAGTTTGAGTTTTGGACCTCTGCACTTAGGGAAGACCAGACATGGCGCTGGGATGCCAAGGAGCTGTGTGCAAAGCTGTTTAGTAAAATCAGCTGTGTTCAGATTTTCAAGACTGAGGACTTAGCCCCTCATTTTCTGGCCACTGCAAGAATTTCCTTGAAATGCTGGGTATTTCTTTATAATATATATTTATCTAATAAAGATTAGCACACGATCAGCTTGGAGAGATTTTGTAGAACAGCTATCTGTGTACTTTCAAAATTACGACTACTATATTAAGGTATCCATGGGAGACTTACATGAAGTTAAGGTTCAGCCTAAAGCAGCATGTTACTTGTCCTGCATAACATATTTGATATGTAAACTGCATTTAGGTAAATCATATTTAAAGTGTGTAAGAGTGGCTCAACAACCTAATAGAATATCAGAGAGAAGCATTTTGCCAAACCATTTGCTGTCTCTCTAATCTGTTTTGGAAATGCTACTGTGACACACATGCCTTTGAAGAGAAATTCAGTCAAATCCTCCTTTACTGTTTGATGCAGGTGTGTCCATTCAGTTTGCGTGTCGTCAGTGTTGTGGGGATAACATACTTGCTGCCCCAGGAGGAGAAACCCCTGTGCCACCCAACGGTAGAAAGGTAAAAATAAGTCAATAAATTGTCTTCTACAATTTTATTTATGCTCATGTATAATTTCTAGTGACAGCTGGTACAGTTTCCACCTACGTATGTAGGCTCTTTAGGCTCGTTTAGAAATTAAGTATACTTTTTACTTTTCATTCATATTTGAGTATGATATGTTTTATGGTCTTTTTCGAAATCAGAAAAACCTGGAGTCCTCCTGTCAGGAAAGCAAATTAATGTATGTCCCAGGACTACAGATATAATTACACTTTCATACTCAGCCAAGATGGAAGTTTTCCAAAGTAGAATTCTCATCATGCCGCTTTCCTCCTGGAAATTTTTTTTCTTAATGTTTATTTATTTTGAGAAAGAGACAGAGACAGAGCACGAGTGGGGTAGGGGCAGAGAGAGAGTGAGACACAGAATCCGAAGCAGGCTCCAGGCTCTGAGCTGTCAGCACAGAGCCCCCGATGTGGGGCTCGAACCCCTGAACCGTGAGATCATGACCTGAGCTGAAGTTGGATGCTTAACCAACCGCGCCACCCGGGTGCCCCTCCTCCTGGAAATCTTAAATGGCAACTTGTGACCTAAAAGATGAAGCCCATCTTCCACAGTGTTTTAAGCTCTACAGTTTGAACCCTGCTTACACCCCGTTTGTCAGGCTCTTCGCCTCATCTTAAATCTTCAGCAGTATCCCAGCATGAGGATTGTTGGAACACGTGGCACGACTTGTGTGTGCCTTTGCATGTGTGGTGTCCTCTGTGGATCATTCCATTCCCTTGAACCTTCACACTGTTCTTCCTCTCCCTCAGTAGACCTAGTCGCTTCCCTCTGCTACCTCCCTGCTTTTCTACATGCTTCCAACACCCTACTGCGTTAATAAAAGAATACACATGTGTGTGTGTGTGTGTGTGTGTGTGTGTGTGTGTGTGTATATATATATATATATGCAATATATATAGTTGCATAAATACAAAAACTCACATTATCTTTATTATGATTTTTCAGCAAATATTGTGGTGTTTGCACTTTAAGTTTCCAAAAAAAGTATACAATGTGGTTGTGTTTGAAAGCAGTTTATGTTTGGTTTTAGAGACAAGAGTTAAGAGATTAGATACTGATCCAGAATACTGCAAAGCGTAACAAATATTAGATGGGTAATTAATATTGACTACTCTTGCTGAAAGAGTTTCTCAGGAGATGGTGACAAGAAAGGCCACCTGAGGGGAGTGCTTTATAAAAGACAGGGATGGAACTTGAGGGGTACCTTGCAGGAAGGGCACAGTTTGGATTGGCATGGGGCACAGTCCAAGGGCCCAGGCGTGGGTTATGGGGGAGAAAAGGTGTAGGAGCAAGACTTTGTTCCCAGAGGGACTACTATCTGGTCTCTATTTGGGTTGGTGAGAAATGAGACAAAAAGTTGGAAAGGTCATAAGAACATCTGAGAGTGATTGTAGACAGCCTACATAATGTGAGACTGATTTCTTCTAGTCTCCTTCTGTACTGGACATTTTAATTTAAGGATTTTTCAGTCCAGTTGTAACCTAGTTATTCTAAATATGAAGTCATAATTGTCTTGCTAGAAACTCTGATGAGGAACAGTGTTGAACATTTTCAGCAATCACATTATGATATCAAATTTCAGATAGGATATAATCATAAGTAAAATAATTTATTAAGAGCATAATATGTGACTTCCTTCTCCATCCTCTAGGGCATTAAAATCTTGTGGACCAGGTGGCACTGCTCATGTGAAGTTAGTGGTAGAATGGGACAAGGAAACAAAAGATTTGTGAGTATTGTTTTATTTAGTGTTTATAGAATCATCGTTTTAATTACCATTTTTTTTAAATTTTTAAAAAAAAATTTTTTTTTTCAACGTTTTTTATTTATTTTTGGGACAGAGAGAGACAGAGCATGAACGGGGGAGGGGCAGAGAGAGAGGGAGACACAGAATCGGAAACAGGCTCCAGGCTCCAAGCCATCAGCCCAGAGCCTGACACGGGGCTCGAACTCACGGACCGCGAGATCGTAACCTGGCTGAAGTCGGACGCTTAACCGACTGTGCCACCCAGGCGCCCCTTAATTACCATTTTTAATAGCATCCCTTTGATCCCTCAGATTAGCTGAGACAAATCTCTCTTTTTAGCTAAGTATCCAAGTGGCTTGCTAAGCCTTTAATCAGTTATTTCTTTCCTATACATTTTGTTGTTTGGATCTCAAAAACCTCAGAACATTTGCTGCTGATGAGACTGAGCTATTTATTCATTACTGTTCAGGGCCAATGATTTTGATTTTGATTATAAGCCCATTAACTCTAGTAAATTATGCCAAATGCATGCCTGTAGATACAAAGGACAAGAATATATATTAATGGTTCATGACCAATCCCATGAAAACCAACTCCCAAGTTATTTTCAAGAAATAATTTTATATAGATACAGAGCTTTTCAAGACTATTTTGGAACATAGAAAAGTTGGATGACCAGTTGATAACCTGTTTGCTTTTGTTACACATTGGTTCTTTTTGATTATGAATTTATAGTCACATCGTGAAGCTGCAGTTTGGGGGTCAGTTTTGCAAGACATTCTCTGATAAATGCTTCCCTCCCCCGCCAATTGCAGCTTGTTTGTAAATACTGAAGATGAGTATATTCCTGATGCAGAAAGTGTCCGTCTGCAGAGGGAGCGTCATCATCAGCCCCAGACTTGCACTTTATCCCAGTGTTTCCAGCTCTACACCAAAGAGGAGCGGGTAAGAGCCTGGCAGCACTTCTGGGGTGGTGAGGGTGCTAGGGAGGGCGATGTGGCAGGATGACACCGGAGACCAAAGTATGCCCCAGAAAAGTCCCCAGGCGTTTTTCACTCACATAATGGGTGTCTTAGTGCTGTTCCTTTTAGGACTTTACAAAAGTAGTTTAGATTACTAGAAAACCTTGATTGATTGAAATGCTCTAGAAGTGAACATTTGTAGTTAATTTTTTTTCTTTTTTAACAGTAATATATGTATTATTTTTTTGTTTTGATTTAGAGATTTTAAACCTTGTTTTTAAATGTTTAATTTTGAGAGAGAGAGAGAGAGCGTGCACGTGCACACGTGCGCAAATGGGGGAGGAGCAGAGAGAGAAGGAGACACAGAATCTGAAGCAGGCCCCAGGCTCTGAGCTGTCAGCACAGAGCCTGATGTGGGGCTGGAACTCGTGAACTGCGAGATCATGACCTGAGCTGAAGTCTAACACTTAACCGACTGAGCCACCCAGGCACCCCTTGATTTAGGGATTTTAAGTCATTTCCCCTAGTAACAAAAATAGTTATTCTTAACTTTTTGGCACCAAAAACATATGTGCCAGGACCTACTTAAATTCAAACTTAAATTAATTAAAATGAAACAAAATTAAAAATTATGTTCCTTAGCTACATTAGCCGCACTTTGGAGTGCTCAGTGCAGATGTAGATCGAAAGTTCGGGGAGCACCTGGGTGGCTTAGTCGGTTAAGCGCCTGACTTTGGCTCAGGTCATGATCTCACGGTTTGTGAGTTTGAGCCCCGCGTCGGGCTCGCTGCTGTCAGCACAGAGCCTGGGGCCTGCTTCGGATTCTGTGCTTCCTTCTCTCTCTGCCCCTCCCCCATTCTCTCTCTCTATCTCTCTCAAAAGTAAACTGTAAAAAAAAAAAAAAAAGAAAGAAAGATCAGAAGGCATGTTTTAGACCACTTAGTACAGTGCTTTGCAGATTATAGGGACTCAGTAAATATTTGAATAGAAGAGTGGGATACATGAATAAGTCTGTGGATGGGGCCAACGCCTGTGTGGTTTTTAAAACTCTCTAGGGCATTGCACCTTAAGCAATGACTAGACTAGAGCACTTGGTGTTCAGCTAATCTTGAGCTGATGTTTAGTATACTTTTGACTGCTAATTGTTACTGTTCACTCTCATATTTAGTGAATCCTGCGATTTCTGGGTTGGAGGGGACTTTAAAACTCCTTTTTTCTTTTTTTTTTTTTTTTTTGAGAGAGAGACCATGAGCAGGGGAGAGGGCAGAGGGAGAGAGAGAATCTTAAGCAGACTACAGGCTCAGCACGGGGCTTGATCCCACGACCCTGGGATCATGACCTGAGCCAAAATCAAGAGCCAGACATTCAACCGATTGAGCCAGTCAGGCACCCCAAAACTCGTATTTTCTAATGGTTGAGTTCTTCTGCCTAATTTCAAATAGGTGATTATCCAGCTGCTATTTGAATACCTTAGTTATGAGGCATTTCTGTACTCAGAAGACACGCCATTTCCTCCCTGGATATCTCTGGTGGTCCCTGAGGCTTCTCTGAAATATGCCCCGGGTTACTGCAACCAACATATTCATTAAGGATATGTGATGACAAGTCCTGATTTTCTTCCACTTGTCTATCCTTTAAATATTTGAAAATACTTTTAATATTCTCACAGTTTTTTTTCCCCCAAGCTATTCATAGCCAGCTCCTTTAATAATAGTTTTTCTTTTTTTTTTTTAAGTTTATTTTTGAGAGAGAGAGAGGGAGAGAGAACCAGTGGGGGAGGGCCAGAGAGAGAGGGGGACAGAGGATCTGAATCAGGCTCTGTGCTGACAGCAGAGAGCCCACTGTGGAGTTTGAACTCAGGAACCTTGAGATGATGACCTGAACTGAAGTCAGGCACTTAACCGACTGAGCCACCCAGACATCCCTAATAATAGTTTTTCATAAGACCTATTTTTTTTTTCTTCCCAGTTTGGAGCCTAATTATACAATAGGCAGTTGGCTTTAAAAACAGGTTGATGGCAGACTCTGTGTGGTACCTCGTCCTATTTGGGCTTTTTTTTTTTTAATTTGGGAGATGTTTGAGAATGGCCCAAAGCTTAAAACTGAGTGGATCTACTAGATGACAACATTGGTATTCCACAGAACATCTCATTGACCTAGAAGGTTAAGTTCAAGCTAGCAAGATACATTTGAGTAGGGATTCATTCATTCAGTAAATGTTTATTGAGTACATACTGTGCACTAGGTGGTACGCTTAGTACTGGGGATATAACAGGGACTAAGCCAGGCAGTGTTTCTGACCTCAGTCTGTTTGGTGGGGATAAATAAGTAAATAAAGCAAGCAACTTGGCATGGTTGAAAAACAGGAATGAGGCCAGTGTGGCTGGGACACAGCGGGTAAGAGAGAGAGTTGAGAGAGTCTGTTCTGGTCATAAAATAATCCCAATATCTATAAGCCATGCCTGGCACATAGACAGGGATTCAGTGAGTCCACACTAGAATGAATGCATAAATGAATGTTACTTGGGAAGTTCAGTCATTGGGTCCAGAAATACGACAGGGACACGGAAGAGGAGACAGTGAGATTCAGCAGCAGGCTGTGAGATGCTAACTTGGGGATTTAGATGTCTGCAAGCTCAGTATTGATCAGCAGTGTCATGTGCCAGCCACTGTCAGCTGCCTTAAGGATGCTTTAAAACAGTGCCCAGAATTCTGATGGTGATAGCACCGTTCTTTTCATTACCTTAAATGCTCACTCTTTAATAAGAGACTGACAAACCGGGGCACCAGAGAGAGTGGATAGGGGCTGGTGCATCTGGAAACCACGACATGCTGAATTTGACAGAGGAGGCCTTGAATGGGGATCTAATAGTTATTTTTAGGCACTTCAAGGACCGGCTTGTGGATAAGGGATTGGACTTAATTTTATCTGAAAAGCAGAACCTAAAGATTGGAAATTACAGGGAGAGTGAATTTGTCTTAATATGAGAAAGAACTTTGTGACAGACAGTCTGAAAATGGAAGAGCTGCCTACTGAGATAGCTGCCCTTCATCTGCTGGTCAGAGTCAGCGAGACCAGCGGTACTCAATGTGGTCGGCAGGGCCAGGAGCTCTTTGTAGCAGTTTACAATGAGATAAGTACAGAAATCAGAGACGTTTTCGAAGCTGTCATAGCTCTTAGACATTGTGAGGTTGTTCTTATTGTATCTTATAAAAGTATCTGTATTGGAAATTGACAAAACAGACTACAGCCTGCTCCTTTACCACACACGCTGGGCTGGATGGCCACATACATAGACTATTAATAAGTCACGCAGAGATGCAGACTGACCAGATGACAGTCGTGGGTCTCTGCCAGCGTTAAGTGTCTGAGTCACTTCCATCCACCCAAACTTCTGTTTTTCCCCATGTTTCCTACAAATGTGATTTGGTCTTCCTGCCACGGGGGAAAAAAAACAACAACCCAGTCTGCTTCCTTTTCCTGTTACCATGCCTGCCTTTCTCCTCTTCTTTTCTGCCTTATTCCCTATTAGTGGTTTCAGCTCTTTCCCTCTCTCCCTCCCACTTGCACTTCTGACACTGCCCTCTGAAACTCTCGGTGGCCCCTGGTTTGCTCAGTTCTGTGGCCTTTGCTCCATCACCATCTGACCTCTCCATGGGATCTTGCCATTCTCTCTCCTTGGTATGCATCAGAGGGAATGCTTCTGATTTGCCTATTTTTCTGACTATGCATCCTCAGGCTCTGGTGGTTTCTCAGCTTTAGTGTTTCACTTAAAAAAAGAGGCATTCCCCAAGATTCTGTTCTGTGCTTCTATCTGTTCCATCTCAGTAGTCATGGTCTTTCCTTACCTCATCATGTTGATAGTCCCTGATCTGGTGCATCTTCTGAACTCCAGAGGAGACTTAAATCTCTCATCAGACATGCCTCATGGGCATACCTCTAACTGAATAAGTCCCCTTCCTGAAACCCTCACCTGCAGAGATGACATATGTGGACTTGAGGCCTCAGATTGACGTTCAGAAAGACCTTGTTGGTAGCAGGATGGGGGAGGATTATTTGGAGTGGGTTAGTGCTTGGGAGAGAGAGATCAGATAGGAGACTCCGAAGTCCAGATGAGAGCGAGGGTAGGGACTCTGAATTAAGGCCATGTTAGTGGGAATGGAGTGCAGGAGACAGGTGTGAGAGGTGGCAGGCAATTACTTTGGGTAGATGTGGAACAAGAGGAAGAGGGAAGGGTTTGAGGGTTTGGGATACCTGTCCGCCCTGCCGGTTCTGCTTTTGGTGGGTGGCAGTAGTGTTTGTTGAGGTATGACATTGAGGAGGAAGGGGAGGAAGGGGGAGGGAGGGAAGGAGGATGGGACAGGTGGAGGAGGAGGAGGAGGACAGTATATTGATGGAAGCGCAACAGGTTGAGTTTGAGAATCTGTGGAATTTGAGGTTCTTCTGTGATGTGGAACATCCTCTGTGTAATATTTACCTGTTCAGTCATGCATTTTTGAGAGATGATTTATTCAGCAAATCTTTGGGTGCCAGCTCTGGCCAGGTGCCGCTTTTGATGGTGTTTTCCATTGACTCTGCATCCTATGTATGTGGTTTCCCGAGAGACCCGAGTTGTACCGTGCCCTGACCAAGAAGTGGGGGCCGCGGCCTCCTATAAAAGCCTCACCTGAGGTGGTGCGTAACGGAAGTCGTGTCATGCTCCTTGTTTTCAGCTTGCCCCGGATGACGCCTGGCGGTGCCCGCACTGTAAGCAGCTGCAGCAGGGGAGCATCACGTTAAGCCTCTGGACTCTGCCTGATGTGCTTATTATCCATCTGAAGAGATTTCGACAGGTAAGGATGTCCTCTGTCACAGTGAGAAAAGTTGTGACCAAGTTTCTCATGCCTCTGCTGTGGGCTGCATGGGGGTCCTTCGGTGTCCCTGTTGGATCCAGCGTCCCTGTCCACGTTGTTACAGATGCCTCTGCTCCAGTGTCTGGGGTCATGTTTGTTCTTACCCAAAGCAAAATTTGAGCATCCTGTGGCCTTTTCAATTCAAAACATTTTAGTTCATACTGTAGATGTTTTACTTTGTTCTTGAGGATTTGCTTTAGATTTGAAAATGTTGTGCTTTAAATTTTGGTAAGTGTACTTTAGGATTAAAAAAAACCACAGAGCTCCTTTCTGGGGCAGGTAGAATTCTCTTTGTACCTAAAGTAATAGCAGGTGTTACCCTGCTCCCAGAAGCGGTCACATAGTTGGGAAGATGACTCATAAATATATGCAGAGAAAATCTGATGTGAGTTGTATTGCTCCGAGTCAGTTTTTCCCAAAAGGCTGTGTGTTCCCTGAGGTTAGGGTTGTCCTGGGCAGGCCCCACTGTAAGAGAGGGAAATGTTCAAGGAGTCTCTCAGGCCTGGCTTTAAGGTGTGTATCTGAAAGATTAGGAGTAGGCCTCTCCCAAGTGAGGTGGGGGCCGTGCTGCACACACACGGTGGCAGAGGGAGCCACGTGTGCAGAGCCCTGAGCGGGGCAGCACGTGCAAGAGACTGACAGCACACCGGTTTGGCTGGAGCTCCAGAGGGTGGGGGAAGGGCAGGGGCTGGTTGTTCCTCGTGGGCAGAGTGGGATTCTGATAAAGGGTTTTAAGCAGAGAAGCAACATGGCCAAATCTGTGTTTTGAAGAGACTATTCTGGCTGCTGTGTGGAGGATGGGAGGCCACATGAATGAAGCTAGGGAGATCTGAAGGGAGCCGATGCAACCATGCAGGGGCGGGATGCTGGTGGCTTGTCCGGAGCAGTGGCTGTGGAGAAAAGACTGGAATAGATCAACAGATGTTTAGGATTTGCTGATGAAGTGAGAGTGTCTGGGGTGACAGGCACAGGATCCCTAGGTTTTTAATCATAGTAAAGAGTGTCCCGACTGTATGCAGATAGCTGCTGTATGCAGATAGCCGAGGTTCAGAGCCCGGCCTTCTTCCACACACAAGCTGACCAATTTCCTTTGCCTTCTGTTTCTTTAGAAGAAATGTCCTCACCCTTCCAGTACCCAGATTCAAAACTGCAGTGTTGTTTTCAACTTCCTTCTTGTCCCTCCCATGTAACCAGTCATCTGTTCAGCTTGGTTGTGCCTCTGCGTTGCCTCCTGTGTGTGTCCCCTTGTCCCCATTCTTGCTGTCAGCCTCCCCGTTCAGACTTGTGATGCTTTCTAGCTGGTTGCAGTCACGTTGTCTTCTACTTGATTTCTTCACTTAAGCTGCTCCTCCCTTTGTGTCCTGTGCTGTGCACTGCTTACACAGCTTTGATGACATTCCCTCCTCCCTCAAAGCCTCAGAGCTTGACTGCACGGCAAGGTCCAAATTCTCTGGTCTGACTTTCCTGACCATCCAGGGCTCATCCTCCCTTTCTCTTATGAACGTTTTCCTTCTCTTAATAGATCCATGGCTCCATGGGGTGGGTGTTATCCATGCCCAATTAATTTCTTAGAGCTCCCACGGACACAAGAAACATTCAGAAAATAGCTAGTGAGTGGACAGTTGGATTTCAAAGGATTTCCCCGTGGCCTTAATGGAAGATACAGATTACCCGAGATTATCAACTAAATGAATTATTATCAGCTAAATGAGTATATTAAGTCAATGTTAACTGTTACTGTGCTTGTTGGAGGAGGTGGGGAGGAAAAGGGCACACTACTTATCTGGTGGCTATTCTGTGCCAGCACTAACTTTGTCTTTCATGTACAGTTTTACTCCATTACTTTTCATGCCTCTTTGACAGAGGTATCATGATGAACTGCCCAATATTGTCAGTTTGTAAGTTAAAAACCTAAACTCATCTATCAGATAAGGAAATGGAGACTCCGAGAGGCTCATCACCCCTTATATGTAGGTCATTGCTTGTTCTGCTTTGAGTAGTATTGAAACTTGTTCCTCCAGATAGTTAAAACTGTTAGTGTGTTTCCTTATTTTGTACCTATCTTTGGAAACCATCAGATCGGTAACTCAAACCACTTGAGCTGTTAGGGTCCACATTTCACGCAGAATTGATCTACCATCTACTTGCATGAAAATATCATCAGAACTTGTTTTTCTTCTTGTAACAGGAAGGAGACAGGCGTATGAAACTTCAGAACATGGTCAAATTCCCCTTGACTGGCCTGGACATGACACCTCATGTGGTTAAGAGAAGTCAGAGCAGCTGGAGTTTGCCATCCCATTGGTCTCCATGGAGACGGCCCTATGGACTCGGGAGGGACCCTGAGGACTACGTCTATGACCTGTATGCTGTGTGCAATCATCATGGCACCATGCAAGGGGGGCACTACACAGGTCTGCAGTGCGAGAGGCCGGGTGTCTGTGCTGACCGTTCCTTCAGACATGTTTTGCTTGTGACAGGGCTACTTTTGCTTTAGAACCTCACTTTCTCTTCTAGTACGCAGTCTGCCATGTTTGAGGGCAGTTTTCATCTGCTGGATCTCTGTCCAAGAGCAAATAAATGCAAATTCTTCCTTCTCTTCCTGAGTCGGACCATCCAGTAGCTGTGTGACCTGACTGGGGAGTGGTGTGTGCAGGTAGATCATGTTGTCTGGGTCACCAAGGGCTCACTTTGGTTACGTCACCCCCACCGCCATTTAGGGTTTCACTCCACTCCTTGAGGTTCTCGCTTCTCCCTTATTTGGAGTGATTAGATGAACCGGTTTTATAGTGTCTTTGAGGTGATTTGGAAGAATTTTTTCTTTTTGTTTTAAAGCTAAATTTATCTTTTTCATTTTTAAAAGGGACTGTTCGTTATATGAAATTTATACACGAGAGAGAACAGTACCATCATCCATGGGCTCATCACTCAAAAATAACCATTGGTAACATTTTTAAAAAATGTGATAAATATACATATCAAAATTTACCATTTTCACCATTTTTACGTGTATGGTTCAGTGGCATTAAGTGCATTTATGTTGTAGTGCTGCCCTCAACACCATCCATCTCTAGAACGTTTTTCTTCTTCCCAAGTTGAAACTCTGTTAAAC